ACTTTTTGGAGCGGCGCGTGTCGGCGGCCTCGCCGGCCCGCGCGCGCCCCGGCCACGGCTGCTGCTGCTGCTGCTGAATCTGCTGGTCAAACCGCTGCTGCGTCGTCTTGGTGGTCAGCACCGCCTCGGCAAAGGTCTGCGGCCCCACCGCCGCCGCGGCCCCCATCGCTGCGCCTGCCCCGCGCTCGGCGATGAGCTCCATGCCCGAGCACACGGCCATGGCCAGCTCGCCTTGGATCTTTGCGATGTTTTCGAGGAAGCGCTCGTCGTACGCCTCGCCCGGGCGGGGTCGCGTCGCCTGGGGCCGGACGAGCTGGCCGGCGCCGCTCGCATCGTCCTCGACCGGGTCCGTCTGCGTGCCGACCGTCGACGACTGCTTGGCCACCGTGGTGCGTGGCGTGAGCCGCTCGTCCTCGGCGTCACACGAGTCGCGGCGCGGCCGGCGCTCGGCGCGGCCAAACTGCTCGGCGTACGAGCTGGACGACTTGGACTGGCGGAGCATGGCGGCCGCCGGCTGCGGGCGGGGCGCGGAAGGGGGGGTGGGGGGGGTGAGCGGATCGGAGGCGAGGCTGAAAAGCGGGAACACACGGCGCGGAGCCGCTGGAATGGGGGGGAGAAGCGCCGCCGCTCCGGCGAGTGCGCGGCGGCCGAATGGTGCGCGAGAGCGGCGAGAGGCCGCACGCGGCCCGCGCGAAAGGGTCGGGGCGGGGCGAGGGGCAGTAGGTGGGGGAGGGCGGCGCGCCTTTGGAGAGAGCCGCTTGCCGACGGCTGGCGAGGCGGGGCGCTGCATCGGAGAGGGTGAGGGCGACCGCGTGCGCGCGTAGTCGGTCGGGTCGGGGCTTCCCGACGAGGCAGAGCGCACCTGCGGCGAGCGCGGCTGCCGCACCGACGGCCGCTCCCCGACGAAGCGGGTGGGAGAGCTCGCGCCCTTGTTGAAGGTGGGCGAGCTGCGCTGGCCACCGATCGGCGAGCGGCCCCCGGAGCGCGAGAAGGGGGTTGGAGAGGGCGTCTTGCGGTTGGCGAAATTGGTCGGCGACGGCGGCTTGGCGGTGGGCGACGGGGTCTTGCGGCTCTTGACCGCCGCGGTGGCCTCGGCAGAGGGAGTCACAGGACCCTTGCACGCAGGCTCATACGCCAGCCGCGGGGTCACGATGGTGTGGTCGCCCTGAGAGAGCGCGAGAGGGAGCGGCGGGTCAGCGGAGGGAGCGGAGGGTCAGGCGCCACACTGCCGCGGTGCGCGCGCGGGCAGGAGCACTCACCTTGAGCGCTTTGGGCATGTTGCGGGCCGCTGCCCTGCGCGCCGGCGCCCGCCGCCGCCTGAGCGCCCCGGCCCCTTGCTACCTGGGCGGGACACGGCCCAGAGGGAGGCGGCGTGAACGTGAGCGTACGTGCGGCCCTGCAGGCGCGAGAGGAGCGCGCGGGGCGCGCGAGAGAGGGGCGCGCGGCACGCACCGCCGATGTGCCCACAGAGAAGAGTGCTTATCCTCGTTGCTGGTCGGCGTTTTTTTTCTGGGAAAAGAAAACGAGAAGGCATGAAAATCAATTTTTTAAACCAAACGAAAGCTCAAGCCCCAGGCAGCGGGGACATTGTCGATCGACAAGATCTAACAGTTGCAGGTTGCATTTGTGAAGCGTGGTGTTTCAGCGATGCCGTGTGCGCTCATGAAGAGCGGCACGTGCCGGATCACGGCACGCTACCCCACGGCGCTGTGGCGGCGAGGCGGGAAAAGATATTCTCACATCTGTGCATGGTCCGCATCCATCCAGGGTTCCAGGCTACGTGGGGACCTCGAGGCGCCAAACAAACGGCTGTCAATGTCACGACTCCCGCTCAGACCTCGCGGCCCGCGCCATGCGGGGCGCCTGTCCCCAGCTTCTCGCACTTCTCGCCTTTTCGGCTGCTCAGACCCTCACCGTTTTCCCCACCAGCACGACCTTCCCTGAGCCCTGGTCTGACAGCCTAGAGTACTAGTATGTGTAGTAGAGTCCTAATCCCGGCGCCCACCCTCCGCGTCGTCCTGCTCATCGTGCGCGTCGAGAACCCTGCCGAGGCACATGATCGTCCCCTTGGGAACGCCTGCCCCCTCGCGCGCGCGGGAACTCTCCCTGCACCGCCATCACGAACTTCTCGCGCGCCCACTTGCCGCCAGGGCGGCAGTGCTGGGGCGCGCGCTCGCGCAGCTCCTCGTAGAGCTCCTCGACCCTCGCCACCTCCTCCCCCGCCCAGCCCCTCTGCTGACGCCTGAGCCTCCTCCTTTTTTCTGAGCGTCTTGAACATATCACGCACACAGACAGAAGGTCAGACAGACAGACAGACAGACAGACAGACAGACAGACAGACAGACAGACAGACAGACAGACAGACAGACACACACACACACACACACACACACACACACACACACACACACACACACACACACACACACAACACACGCACAAGCAACGGGTTTTCTTTTTGCTACCTCTTCGGCGAAGTGTCTCTTTAGTACGACGCCAAAATGCCTGCATTCTTCACCGGCGACCGCGTCTCCGACTACTACCTCGCCCTCGCCCAGCCCCTCCTCCTCCTGCTCCTCCTCCTCGTCCTCGCCGTGCGCGTCCCCGCGCTGCTGCGCTCGGCGGGCGGCGCGGACCGGGCGCCTATGGCGCTGCGTGCCGTCAACGTGGTGGGCGCGGCGCTGCTCTTTGCGGGGACCGTGGCGGAGCTGGTTCTCGATCCGGAGCAGGACCGCATGGACGTGCCGCCCGGCTACTCGCAGGGGGCAGTGCGCGGCCTCTACCTCGCGTGCGGTT